CTATGTGCAGGAGCATTTAACCAAACATTGCTAAAGTGAATGCACCCTTTTGGGTTAACCAAATACTGCAAAGAAAGTGTGATGTTCACTGTAGTATTCCTTTGTGAAATGTATCTACACATAGATGGCTCTACAAGTGCACACCCACCAAAGAATCAATTAGTAGTCTTTATACCCTTATGTGATTATCTCTTTCCTTGAGTTTTCAGGATTAAAAAAAAATACTATTGATATCAATGCTGCTGTTATTATTATTATCAGAATTATTGCAGTGTTATTAACAATACTGATAGCAATACGAAGTAATACATATTTCTGAAAATCAAGGAGAAGGTAAACAGGTGAGAAGATTATCATCATCATCTGCATTATCTTCATCATTATGATAATAATGATATTTTTTATTATTATGCAAGGAGTATATGTTTACTATATTATAGTAGTATTGAGGGTATTTATACTTTATTTCATTCTCATTTTATTTTGAAATATGTTGCATCTTAAAAGAAGGTAATATTCACTTGAAAGTAGATGCAATAAAAGCATTTTTGATTATTAATTTTGGAGAAACATCCTTAGTTCTTTGTGGAGTTTTTCTATATGTAATATATTTGACAAATGGTTCACCAATACTTTTGGTAACTATAAAAAGTACAAATGATATATATAAGCTTGAAAGAAATTCTTTCTTTCTGTAGCAGTTGAGGGCCCTTATTAGTAACTTTGTAAAACCTTATATTTTTAGGAGCGGAAAGTCCTCCATACAGAAGGTCGTATTCCACAAGATGACCCCCAATGAGACACTGTTCCTGGAATCGACCAACAAAATAGAATCTGAAAATATCTCCAATTCATCCTTTGTGCAGTTCAAAATCTTGGACTTTCCGGGACAGATCGACTTCTTTGAGCCTTCCTTTGATTCCGAGAAGATTTTTGGGGGCCAGGGAGCCCTAGTCTTCGTTATAGATGCACAAGTAAGTTGGTCATGATGGTCTGTTCAAGGGACTGCATTGATTTTTTTTTTTATGCTTGTTTTTTATGTTTTCGTTCGCCTTTTATATGTCAACACTGATGCATAGAATTAATGATTCTGATACATAATTTCTATCATTGTATTTGATTGATTTAAAGTTGATAAATATGCAATCAATTTTTGGAATGCATAGAAAATAATTATTTGAGTTTCAAAGAACAAATACTATTGTGCATCTTTAGAAAGAAAAAGTATCATGGTGAGCTCTACATTAATTGGAAAGACATTAGGATTGGATACTCTGTTGACTGATGATTTAACGTCCAGATATGTGAACAGGGATCATTTTGGATATTATGTTTCATATGAAAAATATATTATCAATGTGTATAGTACACATTTATTCATTTTGATCCCATTCCATGGGGTGTTCAGTGAATCACAAAAGATCTTTAAAAACAAAAGAAGTGAACTTAAGCCTGACTTGAGCTATTGCATGTACTTTATAGTTAGAGGATGGACTTTGTTGCTATTGCATGTACTTTATAGTTAGAGGATGGACTTTGTTGCTATTTAAGTATAATATCTACTGCTACCCTTTTTATAGGAACCCATAGCCAATAAGTAGATTGCTGTAATCCTTGGTCCAGCAAACACATCTAAAGTCTGAGGTACCAGTCATTTCAGATGCAGGTTAATGAGATGGTAGCAATGTCGACATAGAGTTGGAATTGCATCACTTTCCTATATTATTTCATAAGCTTGATATGTTTACTGTTAAATGGAATAGAAACATATTCTTCATACTCCTGCACTGTAGATTATTATCTATGTTGCCACTTTTTTGCCACTGGTGTGATTCTTAGTGCGGGGATTGCAACAAGCTATGTCCGAAGAATTGTTTTTTAGTTGTTATTTATTGTAAGCTGTCAGATAAGCAAATTAGATAATAAATGAAAATATGTTTGTTTGTCAGGATCAGTATTGTAGATGCATATCAAATTATAGAGTATTATGAGATGAGTTGTGCTGAAAATGCTGATAATATGCAGTAGCACTATTTATAAATGTACCACAAATTTTCAAATTGACAGAATGCGGTATGGGATCATTGGCCTGTTGTATCAAATAAGGGATTACAATTAGACAAATATGAACTTTTGGCCATCAATAAGTTGAAGTTTATTGTATTAAGAATAAATGCAATGATTTGTAATAATTTCCTACTGCTGCATTGGAGCAAGAGCAAGCATGCAGTAGTTTTGGTCATCATAGAGGAAGAAAATGGTTCATGATTTTTAAATTTTCACACTCTGGGGTATTAAAAGAGCTATAGCCAAAGTGCAAAATCTTCTGTAGTAATTTTTTTTATCTATAGTTTTCTGAATTCTACTTGAAGGCCAGTATGAACTATTAAAAGGAAATATACATAACCTCATTATTTCCTCTAGGATGATTACATGGAAGCCCTACAGCGGTTACACCAGACAGTCCTAAGAGCACACAAAGTGAATCCTCATCTACGATTCGAGGTGTTTATTCACAAGGTCGACGGCCTATCGGATGACACCAAGATAGAAACCCAGCGAGACATCCACCAGAGAGCCAATGATGATCTCATAGATGCAGGTTATTGTGCTGTCTAGGTTTTCTTTTTTCTCTTCTGATATAGTGTGGTTCCTTTTATTATTTTCATTGTTATGTATCATTGTTATTATTAGTATTGTTTTGTATAGTAGTATTGTTTTTTTTGTTAAATCTTTTTATTTCTCCTTTTTTCATTCTCATGATTGCCATTATTGTTGGTTACTAATGATAAGTATCATTAATTGATATAAATAATTTTTGGATTAATCATCCTTTCCTTGAGAAATATAAAGGTAAAACCATTGATAGTCTTGTAAGATAAATACATGTGTTATTTTCATTATTGATATAATAATTTTATCCACAGGCATGGAACAGATTCACCTCAGCTTCTATTTAACTTCCATTTATGACCATAGTATATTTGAAGCCTTTAGTAAAGTTGTACAGAAACTGATCCCTCAGTTACCAACACTGGAAAACCTCCTGAACATCTTTATATCCGTGAGTACTTTCGCTCTCTCTTGTAATTTGTATGTTTAAGACTTCTTTCTTCTTGAACTTTGATGAATATTGTTCTAGGATTTTATTTATTATTATTATTATTTTTGTGGCAAAGTATAGAAACCGTTTTGGTTTTCTGTTTGCCTGCACATCTATTTATTTATCTGTCTTTTCTGTCTGTATCTGGTGTTTGCTTATCCATTCCTTCACAATACATCCTTTTTTTATCCTTTATTCTCCATGAAGAATAGCATATAGAAGCTGAGGCTTCATTGTCTTACCTGACTGGAACAAGATAAAGTGTCTAGATGATGCCCCATCTAGGGAACAAGGGAAACAGCCCTAGAGAATTCTTTTCCTAGGTCCCACAGTTTTTTTAAGGGCAATATGAATATACACTCAATGCTTGTCTTAGAAGTTTATGAAAAACTAATATACAGTATAACACCATTAAAATAATTTTTGAAACTAGCATGAATATGTGATGCCTGGATGTGGTACCTGAACCACCTCCAGTGGTTCAGGTACCAGAAATAAGTCGAAGTCGACTTCAGTGTTCAGAGTACATGATATTCAGGGCCAACTGTGTAAACCCATAGAACCCAGAGTGCATTCCTGACAATTGGAGTTTCCCCAAAGCCCAGCAAGAACATGTTTCAAGGTCAAAATGGGGAAAAGCCAAGACCCGAGCATTCTTGTCACCAGGGGAGGAGGGCTGATACGAGAAACAACCAACCTTGCATTGTGCAAGTGAATGGCCAATATCAAGATAGAGATGGTTGCATGAGGATGGAGGTTGGAGCCAAGGGAGTTAACCTTTAGCCGACTTAACTGTAGCTGACTTGATTCAGATGGGAGTGTCATATTATCAGTAAGGTTAAATCCTGTGTGTTAGGGCCTTTATTATGCCTCTCTTCAAATTTTGACTGACTGCCATGATTCAGATGGGAGTGTCATATTATCAGTAGGGTTAAATCCTGTGTGTTAGGGCCTTTATTATGCCTCTCTTCAAATTATGTTCTGTTATAATATTACATTTTGTCTTTTTTTCTAAAATGTTTCAGATATGCAATGTGTATTTTTAACGTATCTAATAACTGTAATATTATTTCAGTGTTTTATCAGATAAATACTTAAAAATGATACATAATTTGTGCTGAGAAGTATCGAGGTTTATGATGTATGAGTAAGAAAAGTAGAAATCTATTTTTTCCGGTGATTTCATTAGAATCCTAAACCTTTATTGCATGTGATCTTAGTAGATTAGATACATTGATAACACTTTGAGTTATCAGATACATTGACACTGTTTATAAGCAATGAAGATAAATTGTCTTAGAGTAGATTGTAATCTAGTTTTTATGATATTCCATATTTTTGGAAATTATAGTTTTTTTTTCTTCTTTTTTTTTTTCTTTTCTTTTTTTTAAGTCTTTCTGTTATCAGAGTATAAGGGAACAACATAATAAAAGGAAAATCTTTCTATATAAGATTTACCAATCATTTTCTCTTTTTCAGAATTCTGGAATAGAAAAGGCTTTCCTGTTTGATGTGCTCTCCAAAATCTACATAGCCACTGATTCTTCGCCAGTAGACATGCAGAGCTATGAATTGTGTTGTGAAATGATAGATGTTGTTATTGATATCTCTGACATCTATGGGTGAGTTTTTTGGTGACTTTTTCTTCGTTTGATATCAAATTTAAAAGTTTTGGTAGTTGGATGTATTAATAAAGTAAGAGTTTACTAGTTTTCCTTCTGATATTATTGCTTGGAATGATGGCATGGATATGTGGTGGATTGGAAATTTAATGTGTTGATTAGCCTATGCAGTTATACATGTATAGCTATTGGTTTTCAAAATGCTTTGGGTCTTGTTTTGCTTCTAAGAAAATCGCACAGTAAAGCTAGGGGGAAGCAAAATCGATACTTTTGAAGTTCTCTTGTGATGTATGTAAGAATGAATTGAACAAAATGTTGTGCATGTAGTTACATACTTCTTTTGCATGAGTTGATGTTTAGGTAACTATTACATCAATATTTATTTGATAGATTTTATATAAGGCAAATTTTCTAGTGTTTTACTGGTGTGAAGGCTAAGATGACATGTAATATTACCTAATTGTAGAAATCAACTGGAATGATTTTGCACAATCAAGGCATGGTGCATCTGAGAATGAGGAACAACAGGCTAAGAGAAAATCTGTGCTAAAAACCTCTCAAAGTCTCACCACTCCTCCACTTCAGCTTTTCTTCTGTAATGTAAGGATGACTAGACACTCAAATCTGAAGGCAACAGATCCAGCAGAGTTAGAATGAAGTAGAGCGACCTCTCAGAAAGAAAGAAAAAATTCCATTGGTCAGTAGCGGAATGCTCACAAGCCCACCTCAAGGACCATTCAAAGGTCAGATGATCCTAGCTCTGCACTAAATGATCAGTAGGACCACAACTTTGGCCATTAAGTTTAATGACATACTTAGATCCAGGAGTGAGATACAGGTAAGAATTGGAATCTTAGAAATCTGACTGCTCTGAGAGACGTGCAATAGAAGGCAGTTTGATTGAATCCTGATGGACCCTCATTGACAAACCATGCTGGAATCATGACTCCTTCCCAAGATGTGGGAAGACATGAGCTAAAAAGCCTGGGTTTGAGACAAGTAACATAGAAGAATCAGCAGGGCCAAAATGTGTAAGGAAAGGACAACAAAAGGGAGCTGTCAACTGCTAAATGGGATTGCCCTGTCCCTAGTCAAAATAAGGGCAGCTTCGTGGAGAGAATCCAGGGAAACAGTTGATGTCATAACTCCATCAAGGATAATGCTATAGTGAGATAATCACATACTTCTGTAAGATTAAAAAGAAGAAAATATTATAAAAAAGAAACACTTAGTAGTGTATAGGTCTCATGGCATAAAAAATTGTATGCAATGGAAAGATGTTCTATTGAGATGGGATTAATTTATCAGGGAATAGATGATCATTGAGTATATGTATGCATCACTGAACTCTCTTAGCATATTAGACACTACATAAAATATGTGGTTTCAGATGATCTTGGATTGGTGTGATCATTATTGCATGTCCCTATGGAAATGGAGTATCATAAGAGATCAAAGAATTGTTAAGACATTAAGACAACTGTATCAAAGATATTGCCAAGCACTACATATCATGTTCAGGTCCCCAGAAGGATGAACCATCCCTGCCTAAAGGAATCCAGACATCAGAGAAAAGAATATGTCCAACAGGGCAAAGATAATACCACATTATTGAATATATAGTGGCCCTGGATAATTAATTTTGTAAATGATCTATAATATAGCAGGCACATGACATTTATGCAGAGGAGACATTTCCATACCTTACAAACAGAACAACAGTATCTGATAAATACTGTAGGTCACCTAATGGTGTACATGTGGTATGTCAGAAAGAAATGCCTTAATTCCATATACATTTGTAAGATGGGTAACAGGTGTGGATATTGTCCTTGCAAGCAAGATAAATACTAGCGTGCAACCAGGATTAGACCTTTGTTAAAAATAGATAAGGAATGATGTATGAGGGGTTATGTATCTCCCACATTGAGTGCATTAATACACTATACTCATGAAAACAGTATTAGCACCTATGCCTAATGACTGCCCCATCTTTAACAAGGGATAAAGATAAGATGGCAATACATGCTAAGACCTCTGAGGGGATTGTATTGCCCAAGGGAGAGTGGGCAGACGAGATAGGACTGTGTTTAAGAATGAGGACACACAATTAATAACTTCACAAAGCAAGAGATGTAATTGATTTGATGTTCATCTTAAATATTTTGATAAAGACATAGTTGAAAAAGTTGAAATACATTGTCCTTTATGAATGTTTTAATTCTTACTTGTATCATATATACAATTGTCACAATGATTTTTTTCACTGAGAGCATGAAATTAAATTAGGATGAAGGACTCTGATGTTCACTGAGAGCATGAAATTAAATTGCCAAAACACCAGGGGTAGGTGAAACATTTAGTGGCTCAATATAGTGAGTTTGGGTAGGAGAATGTCCCTCTTGGTCTTGCCAAGGAATGTGGGTTATGGCAAATTTCACTGCATCTCTGTGAAACCGAGTTCAGCAGAGAGGCAGAGTTAGATGGCAGGTAACACCCGTCACTGGACCCCCTTGGCAATTACTTTGGCCTTCAGCTGGGACAGAATAAGGTTATTAGCCATGACAGCTCCCAGGCTCAAAGGGTGCGGGAAATAGACCACTTTGCTTTCAGTTTACACATTTGCACCAGCCCTCAAGAGATGAGAAAAGTGTATATTTCACTTTATATAAGATTTTTGATAGATTTATCTGTAAGTCAGTTGTTAAGCACACCCACTATCCCATATCCCCACCTACCATACAACTGGGAAATAGCCTGATGATATTAAGAGAGACTTATTTTTATAACCATGCATTTAAAAACCTTATATTTCATTCATTTAGTTAAGAATGAGACAGTGTAAAGAGGTAGTGAATTTTAAGATTTTACAATATGGACAATTCAGCATCTTAAATTTGGAACATATAACCTACATGTAGCTAGTATATAGATACTTTAGAGAGTCCCTTACCTTGGGTTTGAACTATGAGGACACATAGGCTAAACATTTCCTTGTGTGTAAACAATACTTTCATTATTGGAAGTATTTTTTTTAGTCAACCCTCAATACTATAGTAACTTTCCTATTATGGTATTTTCTTTTCTTTGCCGGTATGTATGTTTGTGCTATAACTTAGCAAGCACTATTTGGTCCACAGTGGATGATAAATGTGAGGGATTTACTTGGATCTCTGTAGCATTTGGAATGCATTGCACTAAATAACAATTGTGCTTCTGAAACTATTTTTTATATTACCTGCAAAATTGATTTTTTTCTGGATGATTCAATCTATGTAAAAAGATATTGGTTGAATCAAGAATAAGGCCGAAACGTTATTCATAATTTACAACCTCTTGCTCTAAAATTGTATGTGTTTTAATAATTTCATTATTAGTATGTGTTCTTAAATGTCTCAGCCCATATTGTCCATCTCTCTGGAACAAAATAATATTTAATCCACTGCGGCTGGATAATCACACTGCCGACTATAGTTTTCACTTGTAAACCTTGTATCCACATGGATGACTATGCAAGTTCTCAACCACCAAGGAGCCAAATAGTAGGCCTATGTGACTTCATCTGATTTCCTCTTTCCTTGATTTTTCAGGATTTTTTTCCTAATGCTATCAATATCTATGTTGTTGTTATCATTATTAATGCTACAATTATTACAGTGGCATTAACAGTAATGGCAGCAATGAAATATGTGAAAGAATCTTTCTGAAAATCAGGGAAAAGGGCAAACATGTGAGATAGATAGGTCTAGTATTGGAATCTTTGGGGACTAAGCACTTGTGGAACCATCTGAGTTTAAAGACAATTAGTAAACAAAAAATAACAGTGGACATGGCGTGTATTCTTGCCATCCCAGCATCTTTGGAGTAATTACAAATAGAGCCAATCATTTTTTTGTCCCTTTTATATACATTTGATATAATATACGAGATTGCACTTAGCAGGAATGTTGAACTCAGCAAATATTCATAGATACCATAAAAAATGTAGACCTATAGTTTAAGTACAGAGCCTGAGGACATGCATGGGCACGGCCCCTGAAAATGCAAAGCTCGTAGCATTTGGTGCATCATCTATACTGTAAATTCAACACACAGGATCAGTTTTCTCCTCACGGAACTGCATGTTTACATTTTCCCCTCTTATCACTGGCATTTTTCACTATGAAATAGGGTTATATTCCTCCGAAATCAGTGTAAGGGGATTAGCCATGTACTGGCATTATGACACGGATTTAATTGAACATATTTATGGTCAGGCAAAGCTGATAAAGAATTAATCACAAAATAGCTCCCAAAGAATTGATTACAAAAGAGATCCCAGTCAACTTAAGAGCACCTGTTTATAATGATTATTCAAATAAAAGTTGGACTTATTTAAAGGAAAGAATATTGATTATTTTAAAATGGAAATAGAATGAATAACGGAACCAGATGTAAAAACATTATATTACTTTTGAGAGTCTGAAATATCATGCAGCTTTGTTCACATTATGTCTATCATGGCGATGCTTTTATATGTCCTGTTTCACCATCAATATAAAGCTTTCACTATGTTGATGGAGATGACTTAGAGGGCATTAATCTAATAAAAAGTAAAAAAAAGTAAAAAAAAAAAAAAAAAAAAAAAAGCGAGCAAGGCTAGTGACCAGTAATGTAGACTTGTTGACACATTTTGCAGTTTCCTTTTTTTCTTTCTTTCTTTTTCTTAGTCAAAAGATTATTGATAATGTCATTTTCTTCCTTAGTCAAATGCATTTTCTTTATGTAACAGACATATTGTTTCCACAGAAAAGATGAAGGAGTGCAAGTCCAGTTTGACAAGGAGAGTTCCAGCATCATCAAGCTGAATAACCAGACGATTCTCTATTTACGAGAAGTTAGCCGATATTTAGCCCTAGTTTGCATACTTCGAGAGGACAACTTTGACAGACAAGGTAAGAATCTGTTTTATATTGTTTGTTTATATACATTTTTAAAAATCTTTTCTATGTCTATATTTAGTGTGATTTTTGTTGTTGATTTACATCGTGCAGTGAAAACTCTGTCAGTAGACAATAAAAGTCATTAGCATAATATATATGAATGAGAATGAATATCTTCACAGTATAAAGTTTTGGTACTGTTTTCAATTAAATCTTTGTCGGAGGAACATGTATTTCACAAACAGTATGACGGAAACTGGTCAAATACATCTCTTGCACTAAAGATATTCATTCTCATTCATACCTTTTCTACATATGTTGCAATGAACATGATTCAAAATTAGTAGTCTGTACATATATTTTAAACCAATGCTACAATGCTGCTGAGAAAATATAGTGTTGTCTGTAGTAGTATTTTCTGAAATGTTTGCACAGGTGCTTAGACACCAAGGAGTCAACTGGTAGACCTTGCGACATTACCTGTTTATACTCTTCCTGGAGTTTTCAGATTTTTTTTATTTAATGCTGTCAAAGTTGATGCTGGTATTATTATAGACATCATGATTATTATAATGGTATTGACATTAGTATTAGCAGTATAAGATAAAAAGAAAATATTTCCAGAACTCAAGGAAAAGTGAAATAGTTGAAATGGGTTGTAGTATTTACAGGCTCATTGGTAACATAGTATGTATGGGGCCATCTTTGTGTAAATAAATTAATAAACAAAACTCATAATGAGCATGGCCTCTACATGCATACCATCCCTGGCAATATTGAGTTATAATTGCCCAAACTTTTAACCATGTGACAAATCTCCGCCAACAGGTCTGATCGACTACAACTTCCTCTGCTTCCGAAATGCAATCCAGGAGGTGTTTGATGTGCGAACCAACCAGCTGCAGCAGCTGAACCACAACACCTCCACGCCACACCACCAGACCAACCACACGAATGGCCCTACGTCCTAGTACACCATCAGCATCTATCACTAGCACACCACCATCCACCACCACTCATTTCTTACTCACTTTTGATGCCTCTCTCATCCTCCTGCTGACGTCATTCTGCACGCTCACGGAAGAGCCTGAAAAGTCCTTGTATGTGGCCTATGGATGTGTTTGAGGGTGAGTGGTGGCACACTCTGGGGTTACCAGGCTGCTGTCGGTGAGATGACTGACTCCCTGTTGGTTGACAAGGCTGCAGAACGACAAGCAACACAACATTTTCATGCAGTATTGGAAAGTTCATTTAAGGAAGAATGCTTAAAGGATGTATGGCAACATTTAACCTCTTTTTTCTTCTTCTTTTCTTTTCTCTTTTTTTCCTTATGTAAACCACTTAAACAAAATTTTGTCAGCTTTTTTCTCCGCTTTTGTCTGATAGTATAAGCTTTTGAAAATTTTCAGTTTGAAATGATTTGCAAATAACTGTATCAATTATCATATTGATAATTTATGATACTGATTCAAGCAGACATGCTGTCCCTCTCACAATCAGACCACTAAGATTTATCACCAAAACCAAGGGCATAATAGTTATAACATTCATAGCATTTAGTGAGTGAGATAGTTTACTAGTGATGCTGTTGTTCCTGTAGAATTAATTGATTTATCTGTTTAGGACTTGGAAGTTTGAGATGGCAAAATGCAGACGTTACTATCTTTTTTTTTTTCTTTTTTTTTAACAATTGATATTTTGAATATACTTGTACTATTGAACTCCTCTCTTTATTTATTTTGGGGTGAATATAAGGATGGACAGGTATTATAAATATGTTCTGTTTTCTTTGTAGAAATATACGATTACAGTATCAATATTCCTGCTCATATCTAATGCCAGTGTATTGTTTTTCAGTTCGTAAACTCTAGTTATGTTTTTTCATTTTGATTATTGTATGAAATGATATTGATTAGATGATTTGACGATATATTGATATCTTTAACTTTATTTTTTTATTTTTTTGACTAGATAATTTTCATATATTTGCCACATGGTCAATGTATTGTATATTCACAACATCATAGGAAAAATTTATAAAGTGATGATTCGAACAATGGACAGGCAACATTTCATTATTATTATAATTTTTTTTTTTTTCAACTGTTTTATATGTAGTGATTAATTCCTCATAAATTTGATAATTGCTGCAATTTGATAAATAGTGTTCAGTCTAAAAAAAAAAAATATGTAACTCCCCAAAATCTTTTTATTTAGGTTTAAGCATTTTGATTATTAAAGTGAAAAGGAGTTTTGCAAAAGGAAAGTGATATTATATTTGGCTTTAATTTGTTTCTACTCAAATTGTCAATAAGAAGGACATCAGTATTTTTCTGTAGGTGTTTTTCTCGTCTTTTTCGAAACAAAGTCTAGAAGATTAGTAAATAATATTTGCCGGTTTCTGACAGTGCTTGGAAGTGCATTGATTGATTAGTCACATAATTCTAAATAGATTGGTATACCGTAGATATTGCAAAATTGCATTATATGCTTACTAGATACAGCATTTTGTGTTCTTTTCAATAATAAAGGTTACTTGAAATATTGAATTAATAACAGCATTACACAAAAAATGGCATTTACAAATAGGTGAGTTATATGCTTAAGCTTGTTTGTTGTAGAGAGGGTGATAGGAAAATTATGAGAGTTGTAAGAAAATATTATGAACAGAGGGAAAGGGAAAGAAGGATAGACAGAGAGAAGGAGAAGAAGAGGAGAAGAGAAATTAATAGGTAATTTGTATGCTTATTGTGAAGGATAAAAGAAAAAAAAATACATCCTGTTCCATGGCCAATTTTTGTTGGTTAGAGATGTCGTTAACTAGATCATTGCATATTCATGTTCTCTGCAATA